TTTAGTAGGAAGAGTTGAGAGGACTAATTATTTGATGCCTTGAGAAAAAACTGGAAACACTCAGGGGACATAGCTGAAGCAAGCAAATGCAATTTCTAGGGTTGACATGGCTTTTCCTTGTAATTTTACAGTTGCTCCAGTTCCTTTTCCTCATTGGCAAAGACTATCTTGGAGAAACTTTTGCCATTTGTAATGTTTACATTAGTGAATCCTTTTTTTTTTTTTAAGGAACTGGGGATTGAACTCAGGCCCTTGTGCTTGCCAGGGAAGCGCTTATTCCACTGAGCCATCTCCCCGGCCCCCTGTAATGTTTGCATTAGTGACACCTATCTTTCTTTCTTTCTTTCTCTTTCTTTCTTTCTTTCTTTCTTTCTTTCTTTCTTTCTTTCTTTCTTTCTTCTTTTCTTTTGTCCTTCTTCAGTGTAGTCAACATATGCTGTGTTATAAAGGACAAATAGAGCTGTTGGCTAAGGATGGGAGAGTGTTTGCTTGTCTTGAGGTCCATATTACCAACCTGTATTTTCAAAAAGTTTGGTCTAGTCACTGACTGGGATTTATTCTATGTTTCCTGCAACAACATTCTCTGATGCTAACTGTTATTTATCTTTTCGCTGATGTTTAGGAGGAATAACTCTTAATATCAAATGGTTGGAGGGAGTGTTCTATGCATTCCTAAACATCTGCACAGCAAGCAATGTGCCCCATTCACAAGCGCTGCAGCTTCTGAATGAAGTGTTTCTTTCTGTGCACTTCAAAGAATGTGAAACAGATGAAACTTCTTGCCCCAAATTTCAGTTAACAGATTTTGTCAACACAGTGTATGTGAAGAACATGTTTCAGAAAAGGTAAGATGGTTTTATGCTTTCATATTTTTTTAAAAATTGATAAAATAATGCATTTTTACAAAAAATTCAGCCATTGGAAAAATGTAAGCCTTATTTGCTTCCCATATCCCATTTCATCATAAAGCTTACTTCTAAAAGTTTTATTTTGTCTTATCAAAGCATTTACAAATATATATTTAAGTTGTCATTATAACGTACATACATATTTGTTCATATGTATGGGTACTAGAAACCTGGGAACTATATATACTGATTTTTCACTTCCTATAACACAGATACAATTGTATGTTAGTGTAATTATATCCATTTCATTTATGAGCATAGGCTTGATTTGATACATTTGATAAATTTACTTAAATTTATTCTCCCTATTTCCATTTGATAAAGATGTAGTTCCTTTCTCTTGCCCCAAATTTTGCACAAAAGGCAGCTTTGGATATATATATATATATATATATATATATATATATGTATGTATGTATTTAGTACAGGGCCTACAGGGTCTCACTACACAGACTGGACTCGTAGTGATTCTCCTCTATTTTCAGCCTCCCAAGTGCTGGGCTGGGATTACAGGCCTGCGCCACGATGCCCATTCTCAATCACTGTCTCGGTGCGCCCCAGGGGCAGGGCCACCACTGCACACACCAGCAATCAAACCCTGGTCCCTGCATCTGCCCAAGCAGGTGCTTTAATCCACTGAGCTATCTGGCCAGCTCTCATCTTTGGGTATTCTTGCACTTAATATGTGCGAGAATTTCTGAGTTAGAGAATATATATTCCCAAATTGCTTATCAAATCATCCCCACAAACATGAAAGTGCCATTTCTCTATACATTGAAATCTATAAAATTAATCCTTTTAGTCTCTGAGAATTTATTTATTTATTTATTTATTTTCAGAACCAGGAATAGAACTCAGGCCCTTGTGCTTGCAAGGGAAGTTTTTATTCCACTGAGCCATCTCCCCAGCCCCAAGTCTTTGAGAATTTAATAGTAAAAGTTGCTCTTGTTACCAATGAGTTCCATGTTACTACATTTGCAGGACACGTTTTAACTCCTTAAGTAATGAATGTGCCATCCTTATTGAAGCAATCTCTTCTCAGCCTTCATTATAATTCACGTTCCCCTCATTTTTTTCTGCCTCTCCGGTTTCTCTGTTCCATCTCAAATTCTGGCCCTAGGGTTTTCTTAGTTGTTGGGGATTTATTACTGCCTCAATTCCTTACCTATTATTGGATTATTCAGGGTTTCCATATTTTCCATTTGTGGTAATTTATATGTATGCAGAAATCTGTTCATTTCTTTTGAATCCTCCGATTTAGGTTCTCAAGCTAATTACTAATAACCTTTTGGATTTTGGTGATATACATTGTGATTTTTGCCTTTTTCATTTCTAATTGATAGGGGTCTTTTGGCTAAGGATTTGCCTTTTTTTCTTTTCTTTTTTTAAATATTCATTGACTTCATTCATTCATTCATTCATTCATTCATGTTTATGTGGTACAGGGCCTTGCTATGCAGCTTGGACTCATAGTCCTCCTCCTGTCTCAGCCTCCCCAGCACTGGGATTATAGGCATGTGCCACCATGCCAGTCTGTCTATTTTATTTTTCCAAAAAACAAACTCTTTGGTTCATTGATTCTATTGGTATTTTTACTCTCAATTTCATTGATGTTTGCCTTATAACTTCATTTCTTGTACAGTTTGGATTTGGATTGTTCTAGCTTTTCTAGGACATTGAAGTATATTATTACGTTTTTTATTTGGCCTTACTGTATTTTTTTTAACAAAGTTTTATTGATAAACAGATAGCAATGAGACAGTTTCAAATCAAATTGGAAGTACAGTTTCAACAAATAATACACTGCATATATTCTTCTTAGTGTATTTTTCTAATGTGGGCATTCATAGCTATAAACTTCACTCTTATGATTGCTTCCATTGTATCCTATAGTTTATGGTGTATTATTATGGTGTATGATCCCAAGAACTGATTTCTTCTTTGATTTTTTTCTGACCCACTGATTATTCAAAAATATACTGATCAATCTCCATTTATTTGCAAAATTTCTGTGATCTCCTTTGCTACTGATTTCTTTTATTTATTTATTTATGTGTGTGTGTGTGTGTGTGTGTGTGTGGCCAGCTCAGCCCACCAGGGGGCGGGGCTGGCTGGCATGTGGTGCTGGGGATTGAACTGTGGTCCTTTGTGCTTTGCTAAGCTTGTTCCAAGTAGGTGCTTTAGACCACTGAGCCATCTCACCAGCCCAATTTCCCCTATTCTTTGAAATTAAAAAAAAAAAAAATTTAAAAGCAGTTAAAGGGCTGGTTAGATAGCTCAGTGGACTAAAGCACCTGCTTAGGCAGGCACAGGGACCAGGGTTCACTCCCTGGGGCACACTGAGACAGTGATTGAAACTGGGCATGGTAGTGCATGCCTGTAATCCCAGCACTTGGGAGGCTGAAAACAGGATCACTATGAGTCTGATCTGTGTAGTGAGATCTTGTAGACCCTGTACTAAATACATTTTAAAAAGCAGTTAATTTCATAACAAAATTTAGAAGAAGATATAGAGATTTTCTATCTCCCCACGTGCACAGCCTCCCCCATTATTAACATTCCTCCACTGGAGTGGTCTATCTGTTAAAATTCATGAACCTACATTGACATGTCATTCATTATCACTGTGAGTCCATAGTTTGCATTAGGGGTCACCTTTGGATGAAGAAATATATGAGTAGCTTGAAGAAATGTATAATAATTTGTATCTCCTACTCTAGCGTAACAGAGAATTTGCACTGCTCTTTCCTCTGTACTCCCATTCATCTAACACTTGGCAAACCCTGATGTTTTTACTATATCAATAGTTTTCTCTTTTCTAAAACATTATATAGTTAGAGTCACAGAATATATAGCCTTGTAAGATGGGCTTCTATCACTTAGTAACATTATTCATAGCTTGATAGCTTATTTTGTTTTACTGCCAAATAATATTCCATTGTCTGGCTCTATTATCATGATTTATCTATTCATTTACTAAATGACATCTTAGTTGTTTCCAAATTCTGGTAACGTGAATGAAACTCCTATAAACATCGTTGGGAAAATTTTTGTGGGAAAACATGTTTCTGATTTATATCAGTAAATGCCAATGTATTCGATTGCTGAGCCATCTGGCAATTTTATAAGAAAAACAAAGCTGCTGAACCGTCTTCCAAGTATCATTTGTGTTCTCACCCACATGTGAAGAGGCTTACTATTGCTCTGTGCCCTGCCAGCACCCAGGTGTCAGTGCTGCGGAGTCTGGCGCTTCTGGTAGCAGGGGTGGTTGGTTCATTGCTGCTTTAATTTGGAACTGCATGATGTGAAAGATCGTGCAATATGTTTATTTGCTGCACGAACATCTTTTTCAGTGAGGTCACTATCAAGGTCTTTTATCTATTTTTACTTTGAGTTGTTCATTTTTATATTCAATTTTAAGAGTTGTTTTAAGAGTTTTATGTTCAGTTTTAAGACTTCCTTGTGTGTATTTTGGATAACAAAGAGGTAGCTTTTCCAAGTATTGTCTCCCAGTCCGTTGCTTACATTTTCATTCTTTTTTTTCCATAATTTTATTGAGAAACAAATAGCAATGAGACAGTTTCAAACCAAATTATTAGGACATTTTCAATAATTAACACACTGCATACATTCTTCCTAGTGGTTAATTGCTGTACAAGATGCGGACATGATATTCTATTTACAAACACCATTAGAACAAATCCCTCTATTCATTAAGAGAATGTAACTATATATCTATCCTAACCACGTTGAATACACAGATACAAAATGGACATTCATCTGTGTCCCCTTTTTTGTTTAATTCTGTCATTTGAATATCATAGGTGTGTAAACTCAACAAAATATTCTAAAAGAGTCCCGTAGTCCATAATAGTATTGGATCTTCTGCTTGACTGGCAGTGTCAGAAATTGTTGACCTGAGTCCCCTACAGCTCAACATAACAGCATGACTTTACTTCTTATACTTCGTTTTTATATTTTTCTTCTGGATGGTTAAGACCAAGGTAAAGCAGGACCTATGCAACAAGAGTTGTAGCTTTTGGGTCTGAGAAGGTCAGTGAAATCCCCTCAGAATTTATCCTGAGATCCTGTACCTCAGATTGTAGAACCTTTGTCAGTGTCAGCCATGTGGATGAGTCATGGCCATTGCTTGGCCAATGTGCTCTCTGTGAAAGCCTGAGAGAATGTTTTCTCTCCAAGTGACTCTCCTTAGGCACACTCTACATCATCGATCACTTTCCTCTCTGGCCCCATAATCTTGATCAGAAAATTTGGTTTGTAAATAGGATATCATGTCCGCATATTGTACAGCAATTAACCACTAGGAAGAATGTATGCAATGTGTTAATTATTGAAACTGTCCTAATAATTTGGTTTGAAACTGTCTCATTGCTATTTGTTTCTCAATAAAATTATGGGGGAAAAAAGAATAAAGTCTACAAAATCTCAAAAAAAAGTAAATTTGGGACATTACTGAGTTACATGATGTTACAGTACAAGTTCTCATATGTCCTGAGTCTTAATTGACCTTGGAAGGCTAGGGCCAAAATGTTGGCTTTCCTTGCGGCCCTCCTTTTTCTCTAATTTTGGTCTGCAAACTTAGGTTGTTAACCATCCAGAAGAAAAGCTTATTGTTATTACCATACAACTTAGGCTGTTAAGCTTAATCTCACTATCTGTCTGAATACCAAACATCTTAGGCATAACATGGAACAGGTATTTTTCATCAAGTATTGATATGTTGAACTTTAAGTCCCTACAGAATATGATGAAAAAACATTTAAAAAATTAAAATGTATTTTAAAAATAGGCATAAAGAATTATATAATTCTTATGTTTACACATAAGTCCAAAAATCTAACCATATACAACCTTGTAGCAGGACAGTCCCACTACATTCTTTTTCCTGTCTCCTGCCTTCATTCATTACCCCCTTCTTTTTCAACAATCATCTACCCGAGAGACAGCACAGCAGCAACTGGCATATCATGACAAGCAGTCCATATTCAGAAGACCAGAATAACAGGCACTCCAAGCATGAACCTACTATTACAAATTGACATCATCAGTACAGTTGCTTAGTTCACAGGTGTCAGTATATATAGTTAGTCAGGGTGAGAATCTTTCCAATTAACTGCTAGATTCAAAAATCTTCTGAAGATTCTCAGGATCATTGCCTTACCCATCTTCTATATATAACTGTATGGCTTGCCACTGTCATGTTTCCAGGCTTTTCTCCTTTCCTTCTCTTAATTATTTAGTCCTTAAGTTCTTACTTTCCGTTTAGTTGTGTTATACCTTTCTATTTGTATTTTCTCTTTTGAGTTCTTATACTAGGGAAATGCATTTTCATTCTTTTTTAAAAATATTTATTTATTTATTTATTTATTTATTGCGTGTGTGTGTGTGTGTGTGTGTGTGTGGCCAGCTCAGCCCACCAGGGGGGCGGGGCTGGCTGGCATGTGGTGCTGGGGGATTGAACCGCGGTCCCTGTGTTTTTGCTTAGCTTAGCTTGTACTAAGTAGGTGCTTTAGACCACTGAGCCATCTCACCAGCCCCGCATTTTCATTCTTGACAGTGTCTTTCATGAAGCAGAAATCTTTAGTTTTACTTAAGTCCAATTTACCAGTTCATCTATGGATCATGTCTTTCACATACAGCTAATTTTTTTCCCTATTATCTTCTGGAAGTTTTGTAATTATACATTTTACATTTCAATTTGTAGGATTTTTCTTAGCTTTTTATTTTTATTATTTATTTTTTCTTAGTTTTTAAAATCTTTTTAGATTTTTGAAACAGAGTCTCATGTAGTTCAAGCTGGCCTTGAAATCACTATAAGCCCAAGCTGGTCTCAAAATCATGGCAATATTCCTGCCTTAGCCTCCCTAGTACTGGAATTACAAGTGTGCATCACTGTGCCAGTACAAATTTGTGATACATTTTGAGTTCATTTTTCTAAAGGGTGTAAGGTCTGTGTCTATATTATTTTTTTCTCATGTGTATGTCCAGTTGTGCTATTATTGTTTGAAAATGAGTTTGTTTTTTTTTTATTTAGGCAGTACCAGGGATTGAAATCAGGACCTTGTGCTTGCCAAGCAAGCGCTTATTCTACTGAGCCATCTCTCCGGCCCTGAAAATGAGTTTTTTTTTTTCCTTTTTGTCTTTTGCGACAAGGTTTCACTATGCAGTTCATACGCCTTGAACTCATTTTTTAACCCAGACTATCCTTGAACTCGAAGTGATCCTCCTGCCTCAGCCTCCTGAGAGCTGGGATTACAGGCATCCACTATCACATCTGGCCAAAAATACTATGCTTTCTTCATTGTATTGTTTTTGCCTCTTTGTGAAAGAGCAGTTAATTCTATTTATGAAGGTAAATACTTCTTACTTGCATAGTTCTAAAGAGAAGTTAATTTAATATCCTTGTAACTCAGCAGGTACAGTTGTTTTTTCTGGCTTTTTAAAGGATTTTTCTTTATATTTTATTTTCTATCATTGTAAAATATCTACATGTAGGTGGTTTTTTTTTTTTTTGTGGAACTGGGGATTGAACTCAGGCCCTTGCACTTGCCAGGGAAGCACTTATTCTACTGAGCCATCTCCCCAGCCCTACATGCAGATTTTTGTTGTTGCTTCTGTTAGCAGTTATCCTGATTGATGTTCTCCACTTGCTTCCTAGATCTCTGGTCTGGTGTCTGACACTGATTTGGGGGCATGCTCAGTCATTATTGTTTCAAATACTGTTTTTTTCTCTCCTTTCTTTCTTCTCCTCTAGGGTTATTCTTATGTGTTGTTACACCTTTTGTGGTTGTTCCACAGTCCTTGGGTATTGAGTCCTGTAGTTTTCAGTCTTGTTTTGCTTTGCTTTTCAGGTTAAAAGTTTCTCCTGGGACATTTTCAAGTTCAGAGAGTCTTTCTTCAGTCACATGTTTAACAGCTAAATAAGATATATTGAATGGACTAAAAAAACATTTTTTTTTCTACCTCAGGCCTTTTCCCTGGTTTGATCTGATTGATGTACAACTCAAGGAAACTCCCTTTAGCCAGCGGCTCTCAAGCAGTCCTGTTCTCCAAGACCACCTTACCCATCTGTACTGTGATTCCTTTGGCATCTCCCTTGACAAGGAAGACCCACTAGTGGTCTCCACAGACAATCCATCGCAGTAAGAGAGCTCAGCGATGAGGTGCATTTTTCTTTCCTCTCACAGATCCGCTCTATGAGGTTATGTCCTGATTATCACAGCTGACATGTAATAACATGACTGTACTGCACTGGAAAATTGTATTGGTGGAGCTTTCAATTGTAGACTAAACAAGAGGTCCTATACATCAACATATTTGGGTATGTCTAGCTTTCAGAAACAACCAAAGTATAAATCTAATGCCCATTCATAAGCCCCTTCCCAAGGAAAGCCTTAAGACAAAATATTCTAGAAGTTATGATGCCAAATTCTAAATTCTAAAGCTAAATTCTAGACATTACAATACCATTATTAGAAAATTATATTCCGCAACTTTTATTTCCTGCATAGTATATAGCTGACAAATGATACAGCAACTTGATTTTCCTACCATTTTGGATAAAGAAGTGAATGTTTGGTAAACAATATAGATTGACTCATTTCATATTTATTTCAATTATGCTTCCTGGTACTATCTTATTTAAACCATAAAGCCACCTTTAAAACTAACTGCCATTTATATTAGTGACTAAAAGAATTTTGCAAAATACAGATCTTATTTATGTAACAAAAATTCATTTATTTCCTTTATGTTTTGCAAATACTTTTTGTGAACTCTATTAAACAGTTGAAAAGAGCAGTAGTTACCCTATCAAGGTAAGAAAAGATGTCACTTACTATGCTCTGTCATCAGACAGAATCACTGTTTTCCAAATGCTGAAGTGCTTTTGAACAAAACCACTTACCACACATGGAAATCACCATGCTCTTAGAGCTCCCATTTACATTGTTTTTCATAATCAGGAGCCAGGCAAATTCAAAGGTTGGACATGTGAATCGTGTCTGGTAAGGCTTATTTTAATTTGGAAAAAATTAGATTCATCAAATATTAATAGTTGGCATGAATGTCAATTTCAGGTACTGCCTTTTAGTAGGAAAACAAATTCTTCTATTTATTGAGGTATAGGAGACTAGCAGACATCATTGTTCTTTGGATTTTATTAGCCCTGAATGGGTTATTTGGATTAAGAAGTGAGACCAGGAAAGAGAAAACAAGAGGAGAGCTGGGTCACTCAAGTAACAAGAGGTACTTAATCATTTATTTTGAGTAGTCTAGTCATGAGGAGACTCTAGCCTGAATTTCATTCTATAAAGCTAGGGAGTCACCATGTAAAGGAGCCTTATAAACTATTACAGCTCATGTCTAAATGTACCCCGAAAGCCTCATGCAGTTATAGGTGGGGCTTCTTCAGAGGTAACAATCTAAAAAGTGTGGTGCTGGGATTAAGGGTGTGCAGTTACTAAATTAGTCCACTGACTTGGTATAGTTCTGGGGATGGATATTGGAAGGCCCTCTCTGGGCGGGTGCTACCTGCCCTAAGGGTGCGTAGCTTGGATAGAAAAAAGGCAGAGAGGGATGCTGCTGCCACTTGTTGCTTCATTCCTCGCTACTTTGCTGCTTTGCTCCCTTCCCACCTTTTGCCCACCAGGGCCTGTTTCTCCTCTGCAGTGACCATCTGCCCTGCCACCCTGCCTTGAAACCAGCTATTTTTCTCTCTCTCTCTTTTTTCCCTGGTGCCAGCCAACTATGCACTGAAACCTCTACAAACTGTGAACTAAATAAATAAACCTTTTCTCCTTCAACTTTGGGTGTAAAGTATTTTGTCTCAACAAGAAAAAGTAACTAAGACATAAGCAAACCTCAGACCCTGAAATAAGGGAATTAAACTCTCAACCTGAAAGATACCTGGGATGAGTTTGTGTTCTCTAAAACTGAAGAATGAATTTTAGGAACGAACAGAGGTTAAGAGCAAAATATTTATTGGGAGAAAGAAAGCTTCTGTCTGAAAGAGGGACAGAAGTGGGACACGAGCGGGTTGCCCCAGGAAGCTACCATTCCCAGGGATTTTTTTTAAAAAAAATTGTTTATTTGTATTTTAGGGAAGGGTCTACAGGGTGTTCAGGGTCTCACTACTAAATCGGACTTGTAGTGATCCACTTTTTTACAGCCTCCCAAGTGCTGGGATTACAGGTGCACCACCGTGCCCAGTCTCAATTGCCATCTCAGTGCACCCCAGGGGTAGGTCTGGGGATCGAATTCCCAGTCCCTATGCCTGTTAGCAGGTGCTTTAAGTCTCAGGGATTTTTATGGAGTAAAACCATGTAGTGAAGCAGGTCTAAGGTGGAGAACATGGGTACTCGCTTAGGTGGGCATGAGTGGGCCAAACTATAGTCAACCAATGAGATTACAAGTACCATCACACAGGTAAAATTGATTAAATTCAGGACAAAATGAGGAAGCAAGTCACATAGGAAGCAGACATGAATATAGCAGTGGAGTTTTATTGGATACCTGGTAGCAGTTGGATTAGTGACTTCCTGGCTTCCTCAAGGTGATGATCAATCCCAGATGCTGATCCTTAGGGAGGTGAGCATTTGTTAGATCTTTGGTCTTTAAGTTTGGCCCACAATGGGAGCATCTGTCTCTCTCAGTTCTAAGGTATCTCGTCTTCCATGCTGTCTCCTTGAGGGGCTGGACCTGCCTACCTATAATATTTCTATTTAATGCAGCTGCCTACAACCCTGTGTCATTGTCAGTGATATTTCAGTGAGTCATTCTGTGTTTTTGAGAGAACATACACAAATTCTTAAGTACCTTTTTTCTCTGATGACTAAAGAGAACTTCCTGTTTCTTGACATTTTCACCCCTTTGGAAGACATAATTGCATTAGAAGATCTCCCCTTGCCAGTTTTATACCAAATGACAGTTTTTTTGGGAGCTTTGGAAACATGAACAGTGGGGCACATGGTGCTGCTCCTCCTCAACAGGTTAGCCTAGGGTTTGGATACTGATACTTCATATATAAAGTAGTGAATTAGGCAGGTAGTGTTTGCCTGCCTAATTAATTATTTGGTACCAGGAGTTAACCTTATGCTTGCCAGGCAGGCGCTGTGCCCCTCAGCTATGTAGCCCTGCCTGCCTGTTTTAAAGAGTGAGCCTTTGTCTTTGCAATTTATTTAGCAGTTTGCCTGCTGTGTGCATATCAGTTTAATGGTCATTCAATGATAAAACACTTTTTTTCCTATATTTGTGGAAAGTATTGTCTGGGGTGGCAGGTGTTTTTATTTTTAATCATATTTTCCCAACCACTTCTGCCACCAGATATGTTTATTAGAATTTATCAGGAATTCTTACAATTCTTACCTAGAAAGAATTGTCTCATTTTAAGAAAGGTCCAAGTTGAAATACAAATAATGAGAAGAAGCTATGAGTAAAGGAATGGAAGCAGCAGTTCTCTGATCTTTTTTTTTTTTTTTGACACAGGGTCTCACTATGTAGTTCAGGCTGGTCTTTTTTTTTTCAGAACCGGGGATTGAACTCAGGCCCTTGCGCTTGCCAGGGAAGCGCATATTCCACTGAGCCATCTCCCCGGCCCCATCAGGCTGGTCTTGAACTCATAATGTAGCCCACACTGGCCTCGAACTTGTGATCCTCCTGCCTGAGCCTCCCAAGGGCTCAGATTACAGACATGCACCACTATGCCCAACCTTTTTTTAAATCTTTTTTTTCCTTTTTGGTCCTGGTAATTGAATTCAGGACCTTGCACTTGCCAGGTATGTGTTTATGCCACTGAACTCTCTCCCCAGCTTTTTAGTCCTTATTGAAGAGAAGAAAAAGAAAACTCAAAGAAGACCATACCTCTTTCCCCAAGTAATTTAGTTTGTCTTTCAAGGTAAGTAAAATGATTTTTTTTTCTCCTCGATAGTTGAGTGCAACTTAATGCTTCATTCTCTTCAAGGGATTATTTATGGAGCGTAGTCCTGTAATCCTGCTGCTTTGACAAATTCAGAGAAGGTCAAGCTATCAGATTTAACCCCAGTATGACTTTTTTGTTCCAAAAATAAGCCAATATTATCTCTGTAGGGAAGAGTGATGCTGCGCTTGAATAATGGCTCTTCAATGCCCAACAGCTCCCTTATGTGCCGAGAAATTACCTGAAATATAAGGATTATTTTTTTAATGTGACCAATGGAGAAATACGACAAAGTCAAAATTTTTATTAGTTTCCTAGGCCTCTTAAATGGTAATCCTTTAAACTATTTCAATGGGAAAAAAATAATGAAATAATATCATTGACTTACTAGCCTGGCCTTACCAAAAACTCAGCTCTTAAGAGAAATGTCACAAAACTTACTATCTTTTTAAAAGTACCACTTAAAGATACCTGCAGCCTCTTGTAGTAGATGACATAGATGAGTTAATTTCTTTTAAACAAATAATATTGGCAACTATAACAGCAGATAGTATGTTTAGCCAAGCATGGGGATACATGCCTGGAGTCCCAGCTACTCAGGAGGCTGAGGCAGGAGGATCACCCAAGTGTAAGGCCAGGCTGAACTACATTGTGAGACCACGTCTCAAAAAGAGAAAAAGTTAAAACTACTAGTCAGTGTTACAAGACTAAAATTCACGCCACAGACAACTCTATACCAGTTGGCAACTACTGATTGACAATGCAGTTTAGACTTTTCTTCTTAAATCGTATTCAGCTTGCTTTTGTTTAGCTCTAGAGATGGTTTATGAGTAAAAGACAATCTCCATGGTCACCTGCATTCCCAATAAGAATACTAGCTGAAATCGATAGCAATATGGTTACTAAGAATTGAGTCGAATGGGTGGCTCTTAGGAGTTCTCGTTTTTGTTGGTGATGCCACACTGAACACCCTGTTTGGTCAACACCTCACTCTGGTCCTTTTTGGAATCTCACAAGTTCCCTGGCTTATAGCCTGGGCTGCAGGAGACAGACCTGTACATTTTCAATGCAGGTTCAGTGTTCTTAATCCAAAAAAATTAAAATACTCCTAAATCCAGAACTTTGTGAATGCCAACATGATGCCACAAATGGAAAATTTCATACCTGACTTCACATGATGAGTTGCAATCAAAATTCAGGCGTACCGCAAATACAGTATAAAATTACCTTCGGGCTGTATGTATAAGGTGTATATGAAACAAAAATTTAGTGTTTCGACATGGGTCCTGTCTCCAAGATATTCACTGTGTATATGCAGATATTTTGAAATTTAAATAAATGTGAAATATGAAACTCTTCTGGTTCCAAGCATTTTGGGCGAGGGATATTCAATCTGTGTGAGCAGACACAGCTATGTGCCTACTGTGGGCTGAGAGAGTCCAGTACTCTATCAATATATGATAATGTGGAAATTTAAAATGTCATAAAGTGTATAAATGTATAATCAAGAAACACAGTCTAAATCAGGTGTGGTAGTGCATACCTGTAATCCCATCACTCAGGAGGCTGAGTCAAGACAAATACTTTGAGTTAAGGCCAGGCTAGGCTACAGCGTGAGTTCAAGGCCAGCCTGAACTGTATAGTAAAACACTGTCTCAAAAAGACAAAGACAGGGGCTGGAGAAATGGCTCAGTGGTCTAAAGCACCTACTTGGAACAAGCTTGGCAAAGCACAGGGACCGCGGTTCGATACCCCAGCATCACATGCCAGCCAGCTGCGCCCCCTGGTAGGCTGAGCTGGCCACACACACACACACACACACACACACACACACACACACACTAAATAAATGTTAAAAAAAAAATTCAAAAAGACAAAGACAAAAGGAAAGGAAAAGAAAAATAACAACCTAACCATCCTTTAATTCAGTGATTCTTAAAACTATGTCTGAAGTTCACCAAGAAACAATGAGAGTCCTCTGATAGGCCATATATTGACCTAAAATAACAAAATATTTTCTTTAGTTGTGATGAACAAATAACAAGCAATAGATTTTATTTTTTCCTAAGACTTAGGGCAACCAATTATTTACTTGAATTAATAAGGATTATTAGGAATAGTTTTATTTTTTAAAAAATACAAAATAATGATAAACAAAAACAATACAGAATTTCACTAAACAAAATAATACAAATTGGACAATGTTTGTTGTATTGTATAGTGTTGTCTTCAAATTAGTTGTTTAGATGGGAACAGGTATTTATTATTATTTTTAATCTTTTATTTATTTGGTACAGGGTCTTTTTACACAGCTCAGGCTTATAGTGATCCTCCTGTCTCAGCCTCTCTGCGCTGGGATTATATACAGGCATGCGCCACCACGCCTAGTTTCCATGGCTAGCAAGGAATGCCCAGGGTTCTAAGGCCAGCGCAGCATGTGGTACTGGGGATTGAACCCGGGTCCTTGCACTTGCCAAGCAGGTGCTTAGACCACCAAGCTATCTTCCCAGCCCAGGAATAGGTATTTTTAAAGATTATTACAGAGGAACTATTTCCTAAGGGCTCTAGTGTCACACACACAATGCTTGGAATCACATGGCCTCAAGCAGCTATCTATTGCCTATCGTTTTCAAGAAGATTCTATTACTACTGTATCATCACTGTATTATATTGATTAAGCTTTCAAAGGCTGTTTTTCTTAATTTTATTTGTAAGCTAATGGTTTTGCTTCATCATTACTGATTTATTGTGTAATGACCTTTGATAATGTGTAGCTATGCACCTTTGCATAACTGGAATCTATAATTTACTTTAAACCTAAAAATATAATTACTGTGGTTCAAATATAAATCATTTATATCACCATTAAAATCTAGAGATATAGCTTCCTTAAAATTTGCTTGTGACTTCTGTGAAAACACAGATTATTTTAAATGCATTTTTCTAAGGGAAGAAAGTGGATGCAACAGCTACAATTTATTTGATTTTATTTATGACATTAACTTTTTAAAATTAATTAATTTGGGGGGGGTTGAGACAGGGCTCACTATGTTGTACAGGCTGGCCTTGAATTTGCAGCAATACTCCTGCCTCAGCCTAAGTACTAAGATTAAAGGCATGCACCACCTCACCTAGCTCTTATGTGACATTTTAGAAAAGGCAAAAGTATAGGGACAAACAGATCAGTAGTTGCCCTGATTAGTGCAACTAATCGGGCTAGTGTGGAGGGACAGACTAGTTATCTATGAGACAAAGGGGAAGTTTTAGGGTGATAGAATTTGTTAAAATCCACTGAACTATATATGACTGAGAATTACTTTACTACATGAAAACTATTAGAAATCCAGCGTGATGGGAGGAAGGATCCAGGGTGTAATAGAATATAGGCTGTGGATAAATGAATCTAACTGTATTACAAAGTAGGACAGAATCTCCCTGAAGGGAGTGGAAGAGAAAGAAGCTAAATAGCTAAATAACTTTTAACTTTGGAAACAGTACTTTTTCTAGATACCGAGAGACTAAAGACAAAAAGAACTGTACCCAAACATGGTACTCTATGGTAAATTTGTTTTTCATAAGAGTTTATAGATGACAGCCAGGTTTCTCACTCTGAGAAAACTATAAATAAACAAGGGGGGTTGGAGGTAGTGGGGAGGAGGTTGGAATGTACTCTGCAAGGCTGGACTACATACAGTCAAGGAAATGAATATGAAAAATAATTATTTTAATTTTTTTGTAGTGAGTGTGTGTGTGTGTGTGTGTGTGTGCGCGCAGGGCCTCACTACACAGCTCAGACTCATAGTGATCCTATTTTCAGTCTCTCTAGTACTGGTATTACAGGCATGCACCATCACGCCCAGACTCCATCGATGGCTCTGAGCACATGGGGATAGGACCAGCGCGGCATGCATGATTATTTTAATACATTCATATACAGATATAGATATAAGCAGGTATTTGTATACACAGGGTGAGTATATAGCATATTTCCTAGGTCCTTCTGTTGACAGTACCTAGGCTGAGAGTGCCTAGAATAGCAACGACTACAACTAATGCCTATTCTTGGTTTCTAAATACTGTTCTCTGTAAGAATCAACCAGTACTATCTGGACATATGGTGTGTCCTGGGACTGAGGCAAGGAAAATATAGTATAAACCTGAAGTTACTTGCGGTGTCATAAAGTAGGGAAATGTGTTTTAAAAAATGAAGCATGTTCAAAGGACACAGATACCAATTTAAAAGCACTCACAACTGTAAAGATGCTATACTATAATTCAAGCAAAACAACCACAATGCTGGGTTATAATCCAAAGAATAAGTGCCCATAAATTCATACTAATATAAATGCCTAGATTAAAAATAAGAGAAAAGTGACAACTAAATATGAGTTCCTTACAGAAGAATTCCAGTTAAACACAGAAAGAATGAAGGAAACGACAGCTAAGTGCAATGTAGTATCCCAGAGTACATCATAGAACAAAAAATTATCAATGGGAAAATGTAGAACTCAAAGTTCATCAGTTGATAATAAAATATTAGATCAAAAGTAATTGTTTAGTTTTCATGAATATACCATAGTTACATAAAGTTGTAACAGAGGAATCTACGTTACAAGTATATAGAAACTCACTGTACTGTCTTTGTAACTCTTCTGCTGCAAAAGTGAAACTATTTACAAAACATTTTTTAAGTTAAAAAGGTCCCTCTCAATTGCTGACATGTTATAAATTTGTAGTACTTAAGTAATTTGCAACAAGGCAAGGACAGTAAAATGATTATGATATTGTAGTTTGTATGGCTTATTTTAGACTATAAAAACTGCATACAAAAAGAATAACTCACTTATATTCTCCAAATATTTATCACAGCATTCTTTTCCTCACTTGATATAGTGTAGTGGATATTTTGAGAATTATTTTCTAAGAAAGAAAGATAAAGTTAATATAATGCTCTTTTACCTAGTTTGTCCCCTAAAATAAGATTGACTTAAATTTAAGTGTTGTTATGGGGCAAATTGTGGATGTATTATTAGTTGGTATAATTACAACAGTGGGATAAAAATATGTCATATATAGGCTGGGCGTGTAGCTCAGTGGTGCTACCTGTCCTAGGTTTGGAACTCTAGTAATGGAAAAGCAAACACACAAAAACAAAATGCTTTCTATGACAATAAAGAAGATAACTACAGCATAGTAACTATAGTTCATGTATGATTTCTAGAAAGATAACTGTGTCTTAGACTATAACTACCTTTTTATATGGAACTAAGTATCAAGTAATGTTTCTGTAACATACCTCTAACTCTTGACCTTTTAATGCTACTCTGTTGATTTAAAGGAGAGGCCATATTTATCCGATGACTGATAATAAGTATCTCAAAGTTTGCTTAAAGTTCTTGGGATATAAGGATAGACCAGTAGGTTTATTGTTAACTCTTGAGAATGTCAGAGCATTTCTAAGTTCTCATATCTTGCAAGACCAGAAAAACCATCATTAGAATTCTATTACTGTATATTGATACTGCACTTTTAGAATTAGAATATCACAAGAACAAAGTTAATTGGCAGACTCTCAAAAATCCTTACAGCTAAAAATTCTTGGTGCTTATATTTGCAGTTTGGATTACAAAATATTTTGTTAATTCTGTGACTTATTTTTATTTAGAATATTCAATATACTCTTAAGTAGAAACTAGAGGTCATAAATACAAATGTGCCATCTTTGAACATAAAAAAGGTATCTGGCAGCACATGATACCTGTGTGAGGGCATGCTTGGAAATACCATATTTAGTAAGTGGTCTTTCCCACATTATGCATATAGACATTTGTGGCTATGAGAATATTATTTTATAAAGGCAAAATAGTACAGTGATTTAAATAGAACATGGTTTGGGAAGTCACATAGAAAAGACTGGCTTCCCTAGATCTTATTTAAATTACCTTTTATAAAGTGTCTTACCTTTCCAGGCCTGTTTTCTCTTGTATAAAAATGAGGATCAGGCTACATGACACATGTATGGTGCCACACATAAAACAAACACTTGTCAGAGAATAATTATTAGCAGAATTCAGAGAGTAAATGTTCAAATACGACTCTATGTTTAATAATTTAAAGAAAATCCTTAGATCTCATTGCCAGTAGAAGGACTTGGATGTTACCAAGTATAATTTTCTCATTTTCCAAGCCTGATCATGTATGGAGTTACATAGTTCGAAGGCCTGCTGAAGTCCCAGAGAACAGAATCCAGAGCTTATTCTAGGTCTAATGAACTAAAAATCTCTGGAGGGCATGCTTGGGAATCTACCTTTCTAACAAAAAAACAAACAACAAAAAGATAGGGCCAGCCAAACAGCTCAGCGGACTAAAGCGCCTGCTTAGGTAGATGCAGTGGCTGGAGTGTGATCCCCGGCTTGCCTGCTGGCCTCACCCGCAGGGCATGCTGAGGGGGCATTTGAGACTGGATGTGGGGGCACACACCTGTAATCCCACCACTTGGGAGGCTGAACACAGGTGGATCACTACGAGTCAGATCTATGTAGTGAGACCCTGTAGACCCTTCATAAAATACCAAAAAAAAAAAAAAAAAAAAAGTAAAAAAACCCTCCAAACTTTCATTTGACTCTGAGACTATTATCCACATTTGGGAACCACTGAGATAAAGCACTGGTAGACATGGGCATATGAGTGAACCCTGTCATGTTGAGGTTAGACTATTAGAGGAAAGTGTACAAGTGAGAGTTGTATTATGCTTTCTAAACTGCAAAACACTACCAATGGAGGTTACTGTTAAGCAAAGAAGAGGGATCTCAGACTGTTAGTGTTGGAGAGATGAGACCCAGAGAAGTCAATATAATCAGTTTAAAAGTTAGGCAGCAAACCAGGCAAAATATATATGGCATTTTAAGTGTTTCATGGGGACCAGAGGCACAAAGTTTATAAGAGTGGGAAGAAAGGTTACTGTAGGATGGTAAGGTAGGAAGACTTCCTGGGGAGATGAGAAGGACTTGGTTCCGAAGGATAATTAAAATTCCTATTAGTAATACAGGGAAGAGGAGCTGAGCGAAGACACAGAGGGAAGCATGTACCAGACAAGTTCGTGATACCAGGGGTTAGACTCAGTATGTTGGAGTAGATTCACAAAGAGAAGGGGAGAGGATGGTGGCTGCAAAAAATTTGTGGAAGATACTGAACCCTCTTCTAGGGAGTTGGAATAATCTTGTAAACAGAAGATATTCAAAGGTTCCTAATAGGGCTGGTGAGATGGCTCGGTGGTCTAGGGCACCTACTTGGAACAAGTTTGGCAAAGCACAGGGACCGCGGTTCAATCCCCCAGCACCACATGCCAGCAGGCCCCACCCCCTGGTGGGCTGAGCTGGCCACACACACACACACACACACACACACACACACACATAAATAAATAAATCAAAGGTTCCTAATAGTATTTTACTAAGGGATTAAAAGCAGAGCCTTTGAATCCCAAGGGCCTATGGAGAGGCTAAATACAGATAGCAACTGCAGGATTCTAGGACTAGAGCAAAACAGTCTGAAAGTGGGAATGGAGAAAACCAGATCACATAAATGCCATAAAAGGAACTGACAGTTGTAGGGATCTTTGTATGGCTTAAAGGTGAGAAAGCAACCACTGTCAGCCTGGGGGACTTTGAGTACAGTGACACCACAGACAGAAATTGTGAGTGGCTGAAGTTGGAAATTGGTCATACGTGTAGGGGCAAGGCAAGGCTACAGTGCCAAAAGCAGTCAATCTACCTCAGCTTTGAGAAAAACATCCTGCCTGAGACAATTTCAGTCTTTAGTTGCTAGGCAACCTGTGTCTCCTGTTCCTAACTTCACAAAAGTATAAATAAACACCCCTACTGTTGTAGTTCAGTTCTCTCTTTTCATCTGGTTTGAAGCTTCCACTTGACCTCAGCTTTTGTTTCTTGTTTTTATTTTCTAAATCCCCTTGCTATTTCTCCCCAGGACCACCAAGAGTCTCACTGGTTGGTGGCAAGAAATAGGATTGGAAGAAAAGGAAACAGATGTCAGCATTTGTAGACAACTCACCTTCATGTGCTCAAAATCTGTTATCCCCATCTGAGGGAGGTTTGAACAGTTTACGTGGATGAGTTTATTGCCACTGATGAAGTTTGCAGTAAAGCACTCCTGTTAGTACAAAAACATCACTTTAAAATGTACTGAAATTAGAATGACAGAAAAGGATGAAGAGAGGGCAAGAGGGAGGAAAAAAATCATGGTTTTTAGCTCTATACTGAGAAAAAAACTTATTTGTATCTTTTTCCCCCCATAATTTTATTGAGAAACAAATAGCAATGACACAGTTTCAAACCAAATTGGTAGGACAGTTTCAATAATTAACGCATTGCATACATTCTTCCTAGTGGTTCATTGCTGTACAAGATGCAGACATGATATCCTTTACAAACACCATTAGAACAAATCCCTCTATTCATTAAGAGAATGTAACTATATATCCATCCCAACCATTTTGAATATACAGATACAAAATGGACATTCATCTGTATCCCCTTTTTTTGTTAAGTTTCGTTATCTGAATATTATAGGTGCGTAAACTCAGCAAAATATTCTAAAAGAGTCCAGTACCCATAATAGTATTGGGTCTTCCGCTTGACTGGCAATGTCAGAAATTGTTGACCTGAGTCCCCTACAGCTCAACATAATAGTATGGCTTTACTTCTTATATTTCGTTTTTATACTTTTCTTCTAGATGGTTAAGACCAAGGTAAAGCAGGACCTATGCAACAAGAGTTGTAGCTTTTGGGTCTGAGAAGGTCAGTGAAATCCCCTCAGGATTTATGCTGAAATCCTGTACCTCAGATTGTAGACCTTTTGTCAGTGTCAGCCATGTGGATGAGTCATGGCCATTGCTTGGCCAATGTGCTGTCTGTGAAAGCCTGAGAGAATGTTTTCTCTCCATGTGACTCTCCTTAGGCACACTCTACGTCATTGATCACTTTCCTCTTTGGCCCCATAATCTCCTTGATCAGAAAATTTGGGACACTACTGAGTTACATGACGTTACAGTACAAGTTCTCATATGTCCTGAGTCTTAATTGACCTTGGAAGGCTAGGGCCAAAATGTTGGCTTTCCTTGCGGCCCTCCTTTTTCTCTAATTTTGGTCTGCAAACTTAGGTTGTTAACCCTCCAGAAAACAAGCTTATTGTTATTACCATACAACCTAGGCTGTTAAGCTTAATCTCACTATCTGTCTGAATATCAAACATCTTAGGCATAACATGGAACAGGTATTTTTCATCAAGTATTGATATGCTTAACTTTAAGTCCCTACAGAATATGATGAAAAAACATTTAGAAATTAGAATATATTTTTAAAAATAGGCATAATTATATAATTCTTATGTTTACACATAAGTCCAAAAATCTAACCATATACAACCTTGAAGCAGGACAGTCCCACTACATTCCTTTTCCTGTCTCTTGCCTTCACTCACCACACCCTTCTTTTTGAACAGTCATCTACCTGAGAGACAGCACAGCAGCAACTGGCATGTCATGACAAGCAGCCTGTATTCAGAAGACCAGAATGACAGGCACTCCAAGCATGAAACTACTATTACAGATTACCATCTGCAGTGCAGTTGCTTAGTTCACAGGTATCAGTATATATAGTTAGGGTGAGAATCTTTCCAATAAAACTCATTTGTATGTTAATAATACTACATAGTTCCTAAAAGCTGTTGGTTAAACTCCTCAGCCCTGCTTCATGTCTCATCCAATTAAATTTTTAGTGTAGGAGTATAAAAGATTGCAGATCTTGTTCTGTGGAAGCCTAAAATCACAATTGGGTTTTGTTTTTTGTTTTGTCTTTTTTTGTTGTTTTGCTGGCTCAGGTGCTGGTGTGTCATGTGGTACCAGGATCAAACAGCGTCCCCTGTGTCTGCCTAAGCTTGCAGGCTCTTTAGACCACTGAGCTATTTCTCTGGCCTGTTTTGTCTTTTATTTTTTTAAATTAATTAATTATTTATTTAAATGTATTTAGTACAGGGTCTACAGGATCTCACTACAAAGATTGGACTCGAAGTAATCCTCCTGCTTTCAGCTTCCCCTGGGATTACAGGCATTCCACCATTCCCAGTCTTAATCACCATCTCAGTGCGCCCCAGGGGCAGGCAGGGATGGACTGGCACAGCAGGCCCAGATTGAACCCCCAGCCCCCGTGTCTGCCTAAGCAGGCACTTTAATCTGCTGAGATATCGGGCTGGCCTGTTTTGTCTTTTTGAGATGGGGTCTCATTGTACAGTTTAGGCTGGCCTTAAACACACATTGCAACCTAGGCTGGATTTCGAAATCACAAATATCCTCCTGTCTCTGCCTCCTGAAGTGCTGGGATTACAGGTGTGCACCACTGTTCCCAACCTTAAAAATCACAATTGGCATCAGCAAATTAAGATAATTACACTGTCTTTTGATAAAACTATTTTGAGCTAATAGGCTAAATTATATTAATTCTCTTAACTGCTTGTAATACCTGACATATTTGGGGTAAATACTTATGGTTAATAGTAGAAATTTAAGGTAAAGGAGTTGCCACTAAAACAACTTAAACTCCCAGAAAGTCTATGGTTGACAATACAGTTTAAATATACAGTTTTCTATTAAGAGAGACCTATACAAATTTCTTAGCCTTTAGTAAAGAATTGCAGAGAAGTGTAATTTCTGGGATTAATAGGACAAAATGAACACATGTGACACCCTTTTTCTCCCCAAATACAAATATCCATCAGTGGCAAGGCCAAAATTAACATTCGTTACAGGTTAGGGGCTTAGTTCAGTGGCAGGGTATATATTTAACATGTACAAAGTCCCCAAGTTTGATTCCCAGGATCTCTTTCCAAATCCAAGGGCCAAGGAGATAGCTCAGTAAATGGGTCAGGGAGATAGCTCAGTAAATAAGCGCTTGCCTGGCAAGTGCAAGTGCCTGAGTTCAATCCCTGGTTCTGAAAAAAAAAAAAAAAATCCAAGTTACTTCCTCCATATCCAGGACTTTTCTATACTTCTAGTGAAAAAGAAGCAAGAAGTCAGATCAGGTTAGAAGAAATATGAGAGAGGATAAGAACATGGGGTTTCAAAAGTTATTTTTGTATACCTTGTATTGGGGGAAGCCTAGCTGGCTAATCCACTCTGCAACCTTCTCTGGGCTCCAATTAAGAAATTCAAATTGTGGTTCCACTCTGTTTCGGGGCTTGGAGTCTTCATCTTTAGGTACCAGTTCCTCCAACCCTTTGGGCAAATCTACAGTTTTCTTCTCATTAAAGGAGTCTGTTAATTCCATTTGAGACTCTGAGAAATATAAGTTTGAGTATTCACCGTCATCAGGCCCAAGCAGTTTTGAGAATTCCGGAGGATTCTCATAATGTGTATTTGGTAAGTTTACTTCACTTCCTTTGTGGGAACCTAATGCATAGTTGTTTCTAATTTCATCCGTTTCTTTTACAGAGAACTTTCTTATTTGTCTTGATTGGGCTTCCTCTAGGAACTTTAGATTTTTCTCAGTTGACTCTGTTCTCTTCTCTTGAACTGGTTTAGTCATCCCGGGTGGCACTTGACTTGTTTCCTCAGTTGGTTTTCTTGTTTCCATGTCTTGAAATTCCAATTTACTCTGTTCTGGTGGTTCTAGGCCTTTCTCCTCAGCTGAGTTTCTTAGTGTTTCCTCTGATTTGAACTTCTCTGGAAGTGCCAGTTCTATCTTCTCACTTGATGTTCTCTGCTTCTCTTTTTGATCTGTTGGTTTAGTGTACTCCAGCGGCTTTGGAACTTTCTCCTTAATTGACTTACGCCGTGTTTCCTCTTCAATATCTGCTTTGATCTCCTGTAGCTGTACTAATCCTGTCTCTGCTGGTGTCCCTAAAACCTTTTCTTCATCTGACCTTCTTGTCTTCTTTGGAAGTTCTGATGTGGTCTTTTCTGATGGCTCCAGACTTGTTTGGACAATAAGTTTTCGCTCAGGATACTCTGATTCCAGTGGCTCTGGAACCTTTTCTTCAGTTGACTTGTTTTGTGTCTCCTCTGAAATCTCTGGTTTGGCTATTTTTGGTAACTGAAGATCTACCTCTTCAATTAATTGTCTTAATTTCTCACTTGCAAAATCTGGTTTGGTCTGCTCTGAAGGCTCTAGATCTATTTCTTCGTATTTCTCTCTAAGTGATTTCTCTAGAGCCTCCTGTTCAGGCTCCTCTAGTAGTAACTCTAATGTCCTCTCACTGGTTGTGGCCCCTACAACGTCATACTTGGTTTCCACTGGTAACTGTGTATCAGTTTCTGTAGCCCATTCTGTGATACCTGGTTTAGCCTCCTCCAGTGGCTCTAGGCCTGGTTCTTTAGCCTTTTCATCTACAGGCATCTTCAAATCCTTGTAAAGCTTACCTCCCATTTCTCCCAGTGTCTGACTTCAACACTTGGGCCGTCCCTGATTCTTCTTGAATAAACAGGTCAATTTGGATCTCCTTGGGAATGTTTTCCTCGGATGTCCAGGTTGGTTCTACCTGAACACTCTTTTCATTCTCTGGCTCCTCTTTAACGTCTTCCTCGCTGTCCAATGCCTGTGGCTCTTTGTTAATCTCAAAGAGTAGCTCCGTACTTGCTTCTGCCGTGTACAGTTTCGTATTTTCGGACAAATAACTAAGTCCTGGCATTTCAAGTGTCTTTGACTCTGGCTCATCATTTTCATCTGGGTCGGGATAGTAATCTTCGGAGATTTCAGACATTATACAGTCCGCGCGCCCAGGCCTCCTAGCAACCCTAATTTCCGACAGCGTCTCTATGGATACCACAGTTTCCGGTAGTGTCTTCTTCAATCTTTTCCAGGTTTTGCTGATTCTTCCAAGCCCTGACTTTAAAGGCTGACCACCAAAAGCAGGCGGTACCTGTCCCCGCGTCCTCGTCGCCTGCCTCCCTCGGCCACCCCCCGGCGGCGGGCTCTGCCCGCGGGTCCCGCGCGGCTTCTTCCGGCTCCGGGCTCGGCTCGGCTCTTCGGCTCGCTGCTGCCGCGCTCGCCCTGACTTCGGCTGTTTCCGGAGCCGCTAGCTGCTGGCGGCGCAGACGCTCCCGGCGCGGGCTGCAGATGTCGGACCCGCTGGCGGCTGAGGGGCCGGGCTTTTGGAGCGCCGCGGACCGCCGAGGGTCGGCGGGCGGCGTCGGGGACGGCCCGGGAGTGGAGGGGAGCCAGGCGGCCGTCTCAGGTACGCAAGGCCCAGGCGCTGGCGGCGGGTGCCGGCCGGCCTCGGGGCGCCGCGGCGCGCTCTTCCTGTGCTCGCGGAGCAGCCGACCCACCTCGCAGCCCCTTGTGCTCAGGACCCCGCTGCTCCGGGGCGCGACCCCTGCCCCGCCGCCCCCGCCGCCGCCGCCGCCGCCGCCTCCACCGGGCCCTGCGTGCGCTCGAGCTTGTCTTCTGCCCCGTTTCGAAATGCCTCGTTCTGTCCCGCTTCCTTTCCCACATCAACCGCTTCGCTCGCTCCTCGACTAGCCGGCCGGCCGGCCGCGCCTCGGCTCGCACTGGCCTCGCTGGCCTGCGTCGCGCTCCCCGCTGCCCGCTCCCTCCGCCCCTGCCGCCTCTCCGCCGCGCCGGGGTCGCCTTCCCCTCTAGACCCGGCTTCGTCGTGGCCTCCCTGCACGTAGGCGCCCTCAGCTCGCCGCCATCCTCTCCATCTCCTGGAAAGCGGGATATGAAAAGCGAAATCGTAATGGGCTCTGAGATCCTGAATAACCCAGGAGTCAGAGCGAAGGGTAAAGAGAGGCTGCAGCAGGAATTGTGGCGACTTCGCTCGTTCTCCAGGGTTCTTATTTTCTTGTTTGGGGCAGTGTCTCCATTTCTACTCATACAAGTTCCTCCGTGTGTATGACTTCAGGGTCTAAAGATGAAAGGGGCAGTTTGTCCTATCGTTCGTTACCTTTTAGCCTCATGATCATCACACAGGATGCAGCTAAAAGGATGCTTCTTTGAAATAGTGATAGAGGGGGAGAAGTGGTGGCTCTTAACGGCAAATAATTTTCCAGGTCTGAGAAGAAATCAGACCTCATAAAGTACCCTGGTTACTGAGCCAAGGTACATGGATTGAAGTCTGGATCCTCACTTCATCTAACCGACTTTGGGCAGATCTCTCTGCCTTAGTTTTCTCTCCATTGAGATGTGGTCACTAACAGAGCCTTCCTCTAGGGTTGCTGGGAGGATTATGTGAGCCACTGAGTCTAAAGCAAGCATTTGCCCTTGAAGCCCAAGGTACCCACTATGATCAGCTACCCGTTATGAACATAACGTCTGTTTTTGCTCAGTTAAACTCCTGCGGTGCCAGGGATGTATCTCTTCCAATATCTCCCACTTTGGCTTTTTTTTTTTTTTTTTTCAGACAGGGTTTCACTGTGTAGTTCAGGGAGGCCTTTAACTCAGGCTGGTTTTGAATTTATGGTGCTCCTCCTGCTTGGACCTCCTGAGTCTTGGGATTACAGGCATGCACCACCACACATGGCCCCATTTCCTAATTTTCACAGCACTGTCAATTGCCCAGCTGTTTCTCATGACTTTATGGTTTTACTTTAAAATATATATAATAGCCAAGCATAGTGGCGCACATCTGTAATCCCAGCACTTGGGCGGCTGAGACAGGATGATCCCCGTGAGTTGGAGATCAGCCTGGGCTAAATAAGCAAATTCAAGGCCAGTCTGCACTACATGGTGAGACAAAACAAACAAACAAAATAATAACAAAATATGTAACAATGTTTGCCTTTTTTCTTTTGAACTTTTAATGTTTTGTATTAAATTTAATATCAATGGTATATGTTTACTATTATAGCAATAGAAATTATAACCACAATGTTTTTTATAACCACAATTTCTAAAAGATTAAGTGAATAAACTTTTATAAAAGTGTATAAGTCTTATAAACATCTGTCACTTGTGTGTGCCAATAATTATAAGTTTAGCATGTTTTAATTTTTCCTCAGGTCTTCAGTGTGCTTATGCAAACATACCCAAACATTTGAATAGAAAGTCATTGCCCCCTACCACCAGACTGAACCAAGGACCTTCACACTGAGTTACACATCAGCCCTTTTTAAAATTATTTTGAGAAAGGTTCTTGTTGACCAGGTGTGGTGGAACATGCCAGGAATCCTAGCCCTCAGGAGGCTGAGGCAGAAGGGTCAACCCACGTTTGAGGCCAACCTGGGCTACATAGTGAGTTGAAAACCAACTTGAACTACATAGCAAGACCCTGTCTCAGAACAAGCAAAAAAATGACAACAGCAACAAAAAGAGAGGAAACAGAAAGGTCTTGTTAAACTGCTTATGCCGGATTCAAACTTGCTGTTTCTCCTACTTCTCATGTGCTGGGATGACAGGCATATGCTGTGCCTGGTTTGAATAGCTTTTTATGTTTTGGAATTGAACTCAGGGCCTTGCACATGTAAGGCAAACACTCTCTCTGGGCCATGACCCCTGCCCAAATAGAAAGGTTTTAAAGAGTACTTCAGGAATATTTTAGAAGTTAGTGAATTTGTGAGAATGAGCTCTACCCTGACTACTTGCCTCCAGGACACTGGTAGACATACTTTCAGTTACTTTCCTTTCTCTTGTCCTCAGAAAATAGGATGATAGTTGATTTCTGTTTGTGTTATGGAGGGGTTACTAAAAGCCAGGGTAAGCTGGGTCGGGTGGTTCATGCCTGTAATCCCGACACTCAGGAGGCTAAGGCAGGAGGGTGGATCACCAAGAGTTCCAGGCCCATCCGGAGTTAAGGGAGTTCAAGGCTGACCTGGACTACATAGTGAGGCCCTGTCTCAAAAAACCCCGCAACTACCCCCCCAAATAAAAACCCTTACAAAACAACAATAAAAGAACAAGGTCCACAGTATACTCTTTCTTGAAGTAGGCTTTTGCTAATAAAATGATAACTTATATGAACTGAATGCTTATAATCATTTTCTTCCCATTTTATAGGAACTGTAATTGAGAGACATTAGCTTTCCCTAGTTGGCTCTGTAGTTTTTACTGTCCATTTGGAATGGTTTCTTTGTTGTGGTAGTTTATTTCTTTTTGTTGACTATTAATCATTTATAAATACTCTAGGACATGTTATAGTCTTTGTCCTTAACATATTTTTAATTTGTTGAGATGGAAGTTCCATAGGAAACATAAATAATTCAAAATATATCCTTTGGCATCTTTTATTATAGTTTTTCTTTGTACGTATCCCTCAACAAGTCTTCTTGAATGGAATCTGTCTTTCCTGTTTTCTCCCTGAATCCCTCATGTGTCTCAGAGGTCCATTAATATTGGCTGGTGAAAGTAAGTCTGAATGAAAAGATTTGAAGGTGTATCCAGTGCATATGAGGAATTAGGACTGAAGGAATTAGGAATGTGCCTTTAGTTAGTGATTATGAACTATTTGACACCCTCAGGAGCCTTCTGATAGTATCTGAAAATCCCTTGATTTGTTAGAACTGAAGGCAGCTATTACATCTCGTGAGCATAGCCAGGGGTGTGGCTCCATCCCGTGGTACAGTGAAGACCTGGTTCCAAATGTCAGTCATGCTACTTTTCAGAAACCCTGGGATGGGGTTAACCTAGGTTTCCAAAGCAGCCTGAGAATGGTTCGGCCAGAGTACTTGGATGTAAACCAATTAGGTGTTTGGATCCTTCTGACACTTTCCACTAGAAAATGGTTGAGTGAGTGGGTGGTAGAGATATTAAGAAGGAATGAAATAGCTAGGTGTGGGTGACACATGCCTGTAATCCCAGCACTTGAGAGGCTGAGACAGGAGGATCATTGCAAGTTCGAGGCCAGCCTGGGCTCCATAGTTCCAGGCCAGCCTGAACTGCATAGCAAGACCCTGTTTGTTTTTTTTTTTTAAAAAAAAAGAATGGATGAATGAATGAATGAAATGGAAAGAAATTAACATACTTTCTTAGAAAAACAACAGCACTAAAAATGGGGTTGAGTATTCAGTTGTTATTCAGTTAAGAGCATTTTTCAGTACCTTATTCTTTCCAAGCAGGAATTTGTCATTATCCAGAATAGCCGTAACTTATTTTTCAGAAGTTCCCTGCAGAGGGTCTTCAAGATTGTTAGCTTAGGTTTTGCTGAAAAGGAAATAAAGGGCTCATGTTCTTAAGCCACTCTGCAATAGTCAGTATCCTTATTATTATTTTTTTATAAGCTGTAATATCAATTGTTTTTTTATTTGAGGCCTCTGGATTCTCCAGTCTCCAAGGACAGAGAAATCATTTTTTGTGTCTTGAGACTGTCTGAGTCATACATGTTGCATCATTTAAGGGCAGGTAATAATTTTTTTTTTTTTAAGTCTAGAGACCTTGGGGAAAATAAAGATCAAGATCTATTATCACTGAAGTTAGTAAGAACATAGTTTGGTGTGTCTGAGCTATCACTGCATTTAAATATTGAGGACTGGGCCAGCGAGCTAGCTCAGCAGACTAAGCACCTGCTTAGGCAAGCGCAGGGACCAGGCTTCCATCCCTGACACCACATGCCTGCCAGCTCTGCCCCTGGGCGTGCTGAGCTGGCCCAGAGACCAGGTGTGGTGGTGCATGCCTGTAATCCCAGTGCTAGGGAAGCTGAAAATAGGAGGATGACTACGAGTTTGAGCTGTGTTGAGCCCCTGTATCAAATACATTTTTTAAAAAATGTAAAGGACTGGAAGTGGGTCAGGTAAATTTGTTCATGTTTGGATTTTTATTTTTTATTTTTTGTCTGTTTGATACAGGGTCTTGCTATGCTGTTCAGGCTGGCCTTGAGCTCACTTTGGAGCCCAGGCTGCTCTCCAGCTTGCAACGATCCTGCTGCCTCAGCCTCAAGAGTGCTAGGATCACAGATGTGCACTACTATGCCTCGCTTATTTATGGTTTTAATGTAGGACTATATACAGTATGTCTTTTTGCAGTGAGGGAAATGTTCTATGTAGCTATTTTGTTTTTGAGTCAGGATTTCGCTATGTAGTTCCCAGTTTTGCTATGTTGTCCTTAAGTGCACTATGTAGTCTCTAGTCTGGCCTCAAACTTGTAGTGATCCTCTTGCCTTAGCCTCACAAGTGCTGGGATTACAGGCATGTACCATCACTCCCAGATATCTCAACATAAATTAATTAAAAATAAAATATGTTGGCTACCTTATGGGATGGTGCAGAAGAGTAGAAGTTTATGCTGAAGAACCTTTATGTTTTTGAGTTTTCTACTGTGGTTTTATGTCAGAATATTAGAAGTTTGCCTACCTACTGCTCTTTTTTCCTGTGTGGTTATAGTATCTTAAGATAGTTGGTAGTTGTGTCATAATGTGTGCCACACAGAACAACTAAAATCTAATCATCCAGAACAGATTCTAAATGACCACTCAGGACTGTGTCTCACTCTTTTTTTTTTTTTCCATAATTTTATTGAGAAACAAATAGCAATGAGACAGTTTCAGACCAAATTGGTAGGACAGTTTCAATAATTAACATACGGCATACATTCTTCCTAGTGGTTAATTGCTGTACAAGATGTGGACATGATATCCTATTTACAAACACTATTAGAACAAATCCCTCTATTCATTAAGAGAATGTAACTATATATCTATCCTAACCACTTTGAATACACAGATACAAAATGGACATTCATCTGTATACCCTTTTTTTCTTAGGTTCCGTTATTTGAATGTTATAGGTGTGTTAACTCAGCAAAATATTCTAAAAGAGTCCAGTAGTCCATAATAGTATTGGGTCTTCCGCTTGACTGGCAATGTCAGAAATTGTTGACCTGAGTCCCCTACAGCTCCACATAACAGCATGGCTTTTGTCTCTCACTCTTAAAGGTGGTTTTTTTGTTGTTGTTGTTGCAGAACTCAGAGATTGAACTGAGGCCCTTGTGCTTGCACTTATGCTACTGAGCTATCTCCCCAGCCCCGTCACTTTTAAAGGTTGAAGAAAAATTGGGTGACATAGTCACTGGCTACAGTAGGAACATAAAATTTAGCCCGTCTGTTTTTGTTTGAACCTGTTTTTGTTTGAGTTTATGACTATGTAGTCTTTTGGTTTCTCTGCACTGAAATGAAAAAGGCTAAGCTAATTATCTCCTTCTATCCTGTTGAGTCCTATGAGACCTGTTCCAATGGAACCTTGACCTGATATTCAACTTATTTGAAAAAACACTGCTTTTTGGTTCTCTTTGTAGAGAAAATATACAAAACACAGTAAGGATGAATTTTTAGCATAACCAGAATATCTGAATCCACACACTGGTAACATGAAAACTTACATTTTAAGAATTGGAAAATATAAATTATTTTAAGAAAGTTTCTTTTTTCTGTCTCACCTTTACTTTAGAGATTGCTTTTTTTGTTTTTTTGAGACAGGGTTTTGCTATGTAGTTCAGGCTGGGCTTGAACTCATGGTGGTCTTCCTGCCCCAGCCTCCTGAGTGTTGGGACTGCAGGCATGTACCACCATGCCTAGCATAAATTATTTTTCTCAAGCTTCCATTTTTCCTTCTCTGAATGTGGTTTCCAAGATTTTGGCCAGTCAGGAACCATGGCAGTGATTTTTTCATATTACAAAATAACATTCCATTATTATTTGGTCTTTAAGAAATGACATTTTATTTCATTCTAAATAATATACATAGTACTACTACTTTTATATCTTTTCTAGTCATACTAAAATAAGTATATATGCATTAAAATTTTAAAAACACATTTCCCCACGTGCCATCTAAATTTACAAAACCTATCTTGGTTTTTTTGAGCTCTTCTAGGAATAAATGCAGAATTGGCTTATATTTGGTTGATATATTAAAAGCTACCATATAGAAAATTTTCTTCGTTGTAGTGGTTTAAATTCCACAAAATAAATTCCAGGAACCTAAAGAAGCTGTGTTTTATCATTGCTTTCTCTTTTTTAAAACAAGATTGTGTCTCCTACACTTTATACTTCTGGATATATACTTATGTTTCTATTTCCTGTCTCCCTGAATCCAATTATAAGTTATTTTACCAGAAGCTCTCACATAATTTAGGGTATTCATTTGAACTTGAAAACGAAAGCAACAATTTTTTACTTTTTTCCTTGTGCGTATTTAGCTCTTAAGATACCATGACAAGTGGTTGTTTTTTTTTTTTTTTTTTGGTGGAACTGGGGATTGAACTCAGACCTTTGCATTTGCCAAAGTGGTTGTTAACATTTGAAAAATGATGAACCTAATTTATAGAAAGCATAACTGTCCCGGGTAGTTTTGTTACTCATTATGTTGGTAAAAGTGTGCAGAGATCTTGCATGCATTGCTAGTGGGACTGTATATCAGGGTTGGGATATGCAATTTGTCATATTCCTCAAGTGCTGTGCAATCCTGTCCTTTGGCTTTCAGATTTTTTTTTTTTCTTTTCTTAGCTGTCTCCCCAGCCCTCAGATTTTTTTTTCAATGAAATAAAAGTTATAAATGATCCTTGAGGATTAATGTTATATTCTTTAAATTCACTGCTATTTTCCATTCCTTTTGTGTTCATTTAATTTCTGTCCAAAAATTCAGCCTTATTGAAGTTTTCAGTATGACTTGAGTGACTGGAAGAGCCCAAGGAGACTATAACTACTGCTTAGATAAACTGATAGATACTCTTAATACAAAAGGGAAGGCAGAATTTTTAAACTTCTATTTTGTTTTCATTTTGTTCACTAAATTATCTTCAAGTTGAAAAGGGTACAGAGGCAATACGGATTTCTGTTTTCAATAATAGGAGACCACTAGGTCATTGAGACCAGTTCTCTTTCAGGGAACAGTTAGAAAATATGGAGGGGAGCCGGGAAAATGGCTCAGTAGAATAAGTGTTTGTCTGGCAAACACAAGGGCCTGAGTTCAGTTCCTGGTTCTGAAACAAAAACAAAAACAAACAATATATATATATATATATATATATATATGGAGGAACTGTGAACATCTGCTTGAAGACACAGAGCAAGATAATGAACTTCCAGGAAATTCTTATCAGAGATACAAAGGTAGAGAGCGCTCCAAGGATGTGACCTCTGTGTGATGGGGAGCTTAAGAACAGAGGCTGTGAAAAGTCCCTCTCTGGACTACAGTGACAAGGATTAATACTGAGGACTTAGCAGAAACCTAGTGAGGTCCATTTTCTCTGTGAAAACCAGAAAAGGCCACAGCCTACTAGAAGTGCTTTGAAGTTTGGCTCTTGAGTGCACCCCAGGCCCCTGAGTTAAAGGCTTGGTGACCCCAATGGTGCTAAAACCTTTAAGAGGTGGGGCCTGCTCAGAGGTCCGGGATCACTGGAGAGTGTGTTCTCAGGATTCTGGGACCTTGGTCCTTTCTCTTGCTTTCCTTCTTCCTTCCTTCTTCATTCCCCTCCTGCACTGCCTCTGCTTCCTCTTGCTTCCTGGCCACGAGGTGAGTGGCTTGGCTTTGCTGAGTGCTCCCATCCAGACACGTTGCCTCCCCCAGAGCAACAGGGCCCACTGATGGGGACTAGAAACTTTAAAACTGAGACACAATAAATCTTTTCTCTTTACAGCTTTATTATCTCAAATATTATAGTAATAGAAAGTAAATTAACACAAGGCTGTGTCTGGGAGAGAGGTGGTAAATGTTGCTGGCACAACTGAATATCCAAAAGGAAAAGAGGAAATTTTATTTGTACCTTTCATGCCACGCATGTAAGTGAACGCCAGGTGTATTATAGATCAAAATGTGAGAGGTATACAGGTGTATCTTGTATTATACTTCATGTTATTGTGCTTCGCAAATAATCACATTTTTATAAATTCAAGATGTCTGATAACTGCATAGACTAGTATCATTTTTCCAACTATGTGTTTGCTGCATGTCACTATGCCATATTTTCTAATTCTTGCAGTATTTCAAATTTTTTCATCATTATTATGTTGGCTTGTGGCAATCTGTGATGAATGGTCTTAGCTGTTAGTAGGGAAATCGGAGAGCACTACCAACTGTGCCTACTTAACAGGGCCATCTTACCAGTAAATGTGTGTGCAGAGAGTTCCACCAGCCAGATTGCTCTTCTCCTGCCTGTTACCTCAGCCAGAGCAATATCGAAACTAGGCCATTAATAAACCTACAATAGCCCTAAGTGTTGAAGAATCATACATCTCTCATTTTAAATGGAAAGCTAGAAACAAGCTAGTGAGGGAGGCATGTGAAAAGCTAACAGAAGCAGCTCTTGAAGGAAATTAAAAGTGTTACTTCAGTGAGTGGAGAAGTGATGAGAAAGCAAAACAGCATGATTGCTGATCTGTGACAGTTTCAGTGGCCTGAATAGATCAGACCAGGCACAGCATTTCCTTAGGCCAAAGCCTAACCCAGAACAATGCTATTCAATTCTGTGTAACTCTGATCAATTCTGTGAAGGCTGAGAAAGAGGAGGGAGGAGGATCACAAGTTTGAGGGCAGCCTCAGTTAGTAATTAGTAAAACTCTATCATAAAGATAAAAAGAATAAGAAGGGCTGGGGTTGAATCCCCAGTACTGGGGATGGGGGAAGGAAGCATAATTGTCATCTATTTCAGGAAACTTCCTTAACACCTCCTTTGACTTCCCTGCGTTAAAGTTTGTGTTTCTGTGATACTCAGTGCCAAGTTCTAAATGATACCATACACGTACTCTTACAGTTGTCTGTTTGTGAATTCATCTTCCTCCCTAGTCTGAGGTCTTTGAGGTTTCAAAATTATGCCTAGGTTAACTCTCAGCATGGAAAACAGTGCCTGACACATAACAGAGGGCAGAAAAGTCTGTTAAATTGAAACAGGGTTAACGATTAATATAGTTTCTTTTGTTATATAGTTCCCATGCATATAGTATACTTTGATTTTGGCAAAATGTTGGGCAGAAGGATGCTGAAGGACAGAGTCAGCAATCTACTTTGAATATATAACTATCAGTGTTGAGTGAAAAGGTAGGTTAAATTGTACGTGTGGTATGAGTAAATTTTTTAACCAAAAAAGGCAATCTTTTTAAAATTTTTTTGAGACAGGGTCTTGCTACATAGTTCAGGCTGGCCTTGAACTCACAGCAATCCTCCTGCCTCACCCTCTCAAGTGCTGGGATTACAGGTGTGTGCCACCACTCCCAGTGGCAACCAATTTTAGACACATAAAACTTTGTTTTGACCATATGACCTATCATAGGATTGCAAATTAAGATAGTAATATTTTATCGTATTTTATTTATAAAATTGGGAAAAATTATAAGGAATTTTCATTAGATCTAGAAGAATGTGGGAAGTGGCACACATTTACTGCTAGAAAGTGAAATATGGAGAGAAATTGGGTAATAATATACATAAAACTTTGAGGGTATAAACACTTTGTCAAGGGGTTTCAATTCTGGGCAGCAGTCTCAAGGAAATAAAGTAAAAAGTTTATTTTGTATTTTTAATTCTCCAATGCATTAAAAATAAGTGCAAATTGCGATTAAAGTATCAAGCTGGTTGCTACACACTTATAGTTTCAGCTAAAGCAGGAGGATGGATTGAGCCCAGGAGTTTGCCTGGGCAACTTGGCGAGATCCTGTTTCAAAAGCTAGAACAAAAAAACAAAGCAAGAAAATTATGCTATCATCTCTCATGGCAGGTTCTGTCAATTTTTTTAAGTGTTTGACATAATGTGATGTGGAGGCTTTGGGGAAGCATTCACATACAGGCTCTACAAATATAAAATGAGAGATAATTTGCTGTGGAGAAGAGTTTGGTCCAGAAATTCAACTCCCAGCAATCTATCTTAAAGACACTCTGACACATATATGAAATACACACAAGGCGTGATTTGTATTAATAGAATGATGATAACTCTAATGTCTCAGTAGGGATGTAATTATTAACACAAAATGAGTATTTTAGTTTTGAAAGTAGTGAAGAATGATATTAGGCAATGTGTTGGTTAGCTTTCCTTCATCGAGAGAAGACCTGAGAAAAACCAAGAAGGAAGGTTTCTTTTGACTTCTGGTTCCAGAGATTGCAATCTGTGATTGACTCGCTGGTCACTTTTAGGCCATAGAGCAGCAAGAACATGGCTAAAGGGTGCGGTAGAGGGAAGCTGCTCCCTCAGGGCAGCCAGGAAGCAGCCAAGGACAGCACCAGAGCCAGGGGGGCTCCAGGGGGCCTCCTCCAGTTGAGCCCACCTCGCTTTCCGCTTTCCGCTCCTCCCAGTAATGGCATCAAGATTAAGACCTCCTAAGTGGATTAACCCCCTGATGACCTTAGCGCTCTCTTGCCCTAGCTGTCGCTGAAAGCCCTACTTCTGGACACATGATGTTTCTGGTGGACATTTTAGGTCTAAACCATAACAGACTTGTTTGTTTTGAGATCTTTCTTTTTTAATGTAGTCACTTAAGGCTGTGTCCCCTCTTAGAAATGCTTTGCTGCATCCTGTAGGCTTTGGTATATTGTGTTCACATTGGTATTTGTCTCAAGATGTGTTGTTACCATTGCTGGCTGGCAGGGGAACCTAGGGTCTCATGGATGCCAACAAGTGCTTTCCTACCGAGCTACATCCTCGCCTGTTTCAGGGATAATTTTAAATTTACCTTGTAATTTTTTCTCTGACCTGTTGGTTATTGTGGACTATTTTGTTTAGCCTCTACACATTTGTGAATTTCCAAAGTTCCTTCTGTTGATAATGTCTGTTTTCATATTTTTGTAGGTAGAAACAATACTTGATACAATTTCTGTCATACTTTTTTTTTTTTTTTCTTAAATTTGATACAGAATCTCGCTGTGGAGCCCCTATTCTTAGTGATCCTCCCTAGCGCTGGGATTACAGATGGCTGGCTTGGTGAGGGGCTGGAATAGTGTGCAGTACCGGAGATCCAACCCGAATCCTTGTGCTTGCCAGGCGGGCGCTTAGACCTCTGAGCTATCTC